CTATTTTTCCTAGTAGGCTAACACAGGTATAGCTTTTTAACCTTGGGTAAAATAATCAGCTTCTTTATTTTAACAACACAGGCAAAAACTAAACTTTGAAGAAAGAAATGGCTAAGTTTTCTTTATACTTTCTTTTTTCTTTGACTTTGTGAAAAAAATCAGAAAAGCACCAAGTATTGTATAATATATAAATACCAATGTACAGGCCACCAAAAAAGTGTTAACACTTTGCTATGTTTGCTCTAGACTTTTTTTGGAAAAAATTAAGTATTCCAGATAAAGTGTTATTCCCCCCCCTTAAAATTTTATTTATTTATTTATTTTTTAAGAGAGGGGAAGGGAGGGAGAAAGAGAGGTAGAGAAACATTGGTTGGTTGCTTCTCATACGCACCCCAGCCAGGGACTGAACCTGCAACCCAGGTGTGTGCCCTGACCTGGAAACAAGCCAATAACCTTTCATTGTGTGGAATAACACCCAACCAGATGAACCTCACTGGTTAAGTCCCCCTTTGTTTTCTTTTAAATTTTCATTTATTGATTTTAGAGAGAGAGAGGAAAGGAAGGAGGAGAAAGAGAGAGAGAGAGGCATTGATTTACTATTCCACTTACTTATGCATTTACTGGTTGATTCTTGTATGTTTTTTGACCAGGGATCAAATCTACAACCTTGGTATTTCGGGACAGTGCTCTAACCGGCTCTAACCAACTGAGCTACTCAGCCAGAGCTAACCTTTTTTTTTTTTGTTTTCTTCTATTATCTTCTTTCCCAGAGCCAGTACTATGAGGAAATTATCAGGAATCCTTCCAGTGCGCCTTTTCATAATTTTACAATGTGTATATAGGTCAATAGATTGCTATATGTTTATCACAACATACACTATTACAAGATAGACTATTTAAAAGTGTTATTTTGTATATTTTGAAATGGTATTCTATGCATCTATCTGCAACCTGCTTTTCTCAGTCAACATATATATTTGATATTTATATGAACTGGATCTTAACACAAACAGATCCAGTTCAGTCATTTTTAAGTGCTTTATACTATTTTATTGAATAAATAAACCACAATTTATTTATTCTTCTAATGATCCTAATTATTATGAACAATACTTCAAGGAATGCCCTTGAACTTGTTTCCTTAGGCACATGTATCAGAGTTTCATTGGAGTAACTTCCTAGACATGAAATTGTTGAGTCATAGGACAGGCACTGCCAACTTTATTTCATATTGCCTAAATGTTCTCCAATGTGACTGTGGCATTTTATACTCCCTTTCAGCAATGATGGAACCAGCTTTCTAAAACAAACATGCCAAATATTCTTTCTGCAGTTTTGAGGGTTTTCCATTGCAGAATTTAACCCTTTTCCCACCAAGTGTCCTATGTGTTCCTTTACTTCCAGAGAATCAGTTGTTTGGCTTCCTTAGAAAGAACAGAACAAATATTAAAACTTTGTTCATGTTTATTTAGGATAAAACCTTACAGTTTTCCGAAGAACTATTCTGTGATTAAGTGTTCTGTCAGAACGAATCTTTCCCTAATCTAAATTTAACTCTCCTGTCTTTATTCATACGATGTGAATAGACAAAATTTCTCACCTTTTCAACATTTTCACAGGTCTTGAGGAGATTGTCTAACCACTCTGTACGTGATTTTCAACGTTTTTCTGCTTATTTTAAATCTTTTGTTAGGGTAATGAAAACAAAATAATGTTTGTTCTTGGCATTACTTTGTCTCCTTAAATTCCTTAAATTTTTTAGACCTCTTAGGTCTCTAACTTAAAACTTTCCTCTAGTGTCACGCAAATATAGATGTTAATGCAGCCTCCAGGAGCAACGTCCTGAACTTGAAATTATTGCTGCTACTCTAGACTGAAACCTGTTGAAACATTCCCGCTTGTAGATCCTCCTCACTAGGAGGAAGAGCATCCGCCACTTTCTGGTACAGTCGATGGATACAGACAGGCAGTGTACATGCAAAATTTGACCCCCTTGTTTTTTTTAAACTGAGCTCTTAAATGGAAACAAAGTTGAGCTAGTGATGGACAGTAATGACAGGGTGTATATTAGTACCTAGAGCCTTTTTGAGTAGTTGTCCTTAATTTCTATTTAGCACTCACATTTGGGTGTTTTCCCAGTTTTATCCTTTTGTAATACTAGAGGAATGAACAGAAATAGGCATCAGTGCCTTCTGGTCCATTGTTTCTCTTTTAAGAAACACTTGAGTTTAAATGTTAACACTTAACAGGAAGGGCCCGGCATTATCTGGAGCCAGATGCAAAGGCATACACATTTGGCCTCCCTGTGTAACAGAAAGGAGGTGCTGGCCATATGAGCATGATGAGCTCCCCACATGCTGTGAATATATGTTGTTATGACTTGCCATTGCATGACATATACGAAGCTTTCTATTTTGGGGAGAGTTGAGTGATGTGGAGGTAATCAGATTGTATTTTGGAAGATCACTCTGGCTACATTTAGAGAATTGGTTGGAGGAGGCCTGGGGAAGCTGTTGGAGATCAGTTAAGAGACCACTGCCATAGTTCCAGGGAGAAAAGAAGCTGATTGGGGCTAGGGAGGTAACTGGAGAGGGAGAGATGGACACATGTGAAACGTCTGGGAGGCAAATTCCACTGGGTTTAGTGATAGCTGGGCTCTGGGGCTGAGGGAAAGAAGGGGATCAGTCATGGTCGAATGAGTTTCCTCGTCTCTGATTGGGCGCACAGTTATGGGCATGGAGTTGTCATATGAAATAGTTTAGTATCAGTATTAGCTGAAGTCAGGGAGGCTCAGCCTCATGCCATGTTCTATATTGTGTGATATTTCGAAAAAGCCTGACAGGTAGCCATTTACTTTTTTGTAAAGCAAGTAGCAGTTTCATCAGAGAGGCAAACATTGCAGGATTCCTGTAGTCACAATATGCTTAGTTTACGGAAATTATTGCTGAAACAAGAGTAGGAGGAAACACTTTTTATACTATACTAATTTGCAAGACCGACCAGCTGGTGTCTGGTGTTCAAATGAACTAACACTGAAGGTAGCAAGCACCCACTACATATAAATGTTAGAGAGTTTTCCTTGATGTTGGGGACATTGCGTAGAAGCACAAAGGAGAATTGAACTTCTCAAAATGCTTCATAATTATTTTCACCAGCGGTCCTCATGGAAGGTTTGTTTGTACATGGGCAGAGGACAAGGCAGAGGGCTGGGCCATCATCATATTTGGCTCCATTATAGATAAACAGTGGCATTCAAGGAACGGGTGTCCTTGTTCACCGTTGCATGGGCTGTCAACAGCAGGCTCTGGTTGAGACCTTCAATCTTTGAAACAGCTTCTTAAAACAAAAACAACAATAAAATAACTACAGTGTAATCTGACCTAAATACCAAGTCTGTCATTAGATTGTTCATGTAGCAGAGGTACCCACCACATGAAATGTTTCCATTCTCTGCCATCATCCCCAAACTGGGAATTTAAAGAAGTCATTAATCTGAAATATAATGTAATTGAGAGATTCATTCTTCTCTGGCTACATTGATTATCAGCTGTGATCACTGTGGCATGCTATGGAGTCACAACTTCTCAACAGTTGTATTTATTAGATTGCTGCCTATCTGTTATTTGTGGGAGTTAGTGGAAAGGTTTGGGTAGAGACAAATGAGTTCAAGAAAGACAAAACAAAAAAACCCCAAAAAACAAAAAAACAGCTGTTTTAAATGGTGATAAAAGAAAAAAAATAAGAGACTGTCATCACTAAGCCCTTCGGCCCTCCCAGCTAGACATACTGATCTAAATTAATGTGAATGACCATACTAATTTTAGGACCCAAATATAACCAATGAGACTTTCTGTAAGACATTCTCCGTGAATTCTCAGTGACTATGAAAAATTAGAAAAGCTGATGAGCAAGAGTAAGAGACATGCTTTCTCAGGATGCTGTCAGGAACACCTCAGCAGCTCTCAGGTCCCACAGCAGATTTTATTTGCAAAGGTCCAATTTCACAATGGTCCTTCGAAGAACTGTACCACTTGCTTCTTGGATGCCCCTTGGATGGGGAATGGCCTTCTAGACTTGGTATACATATGTAACCCCTGATCTTCCACTCCTCTAGAGACCGTATCCTCCCAGGTGTCCAGGGCTGACCTGGTGTCTGGAAGTGCGAGCCGATTGCCTCTGCTGCCGGCACTGACTCCACCTGTGCCCAGCTGGCTTGTTGTTTTGCATGAGACTTTTTGTCCCATGCTTATTGCCTGGTGTGAAGCAGATTTCACTTCCTTGAATACAGTCCTGAAGAAAATCTGTTTGAGATGACCCAAGGCAATAGGTAATAGACTGACCTCGATTAAGATATAGAAGTTTTTTTTTTTTCTTTTGCTTTTCGAGGGTCTGTCTTTTTTGATGACTCCTCTCCTAATAGTTTCAGGTCCGGACAGCTGAAGTCCTACAGCCTCTGCGAGGTGAGAGTCCATTTATTTCATCCAAATCAGAGTCTATTTTACCAGTTCTCTACAGCTCCATAACTCTCCAACTGCCTTCTGCCAGGTGTCAGCCAGCTTGTTGCACAGACGGTTACTGCCTTCGAATGCCTTCAAACAGTTACATGTTTGAGCCTGGGGGCCTTTAATGTAGATGTTCCAGCCATGTCAGTGTGGCCTCTCCTTTCAGCTTGCTTTGTTTATCCAGCAGCTCATTACTTAAGAGTAGCCTGTCAAAATAGGTTAAATATTCTTTGGGAAACATGGTCACTCACATCCTTGAGATACCACAAATATGTTTAATACAGGGAAGATTGGCTTGATAAGAAAAGTGTGATTGACTTGCGTCACCAAAAAATACTTTCCTGTTACTCTGGTTGAATTTCCACAAGCAACAATAAGCACTAGAAAACCTAAGGACAATAAATTTTTGCAGCCGACACATAAAGACACCAAGGGAAGCAGGGAAAATGATTGCTGATGATTCATTCTAACTACTTGACCTTCTGACCTCTTCTCTAGATATATGACCAAGATGGGACACTACAGCACTTTATTGATGGTGGGGAACCTAGTAAGTCAAGCTGGATGAGGTATATCCGATGTGCAAGGCACTGCGGAGAACAGAATCTAACAGTAGTTCAGTACAGGTAAAGTATATCTCAATTTACCACTTATGGAGCTGAAGCCCTTGGGCCTGCATATACAAATTCAGACTTGCTGCTAGCTTTGCAACACTTTTGCAGGAATTTTTGCAGGAACTCTGCAAGAACTGGCAGAAATTGTTTTGTTAGGTTTCTGAAATTCCCTTAGTTCTTGCAACCATAATTTCATGAGAATTCAGGAATAAACATCCTTGTAGAAGGCCTCTTTCACTCAGTGCACATGGTAAATTTATTTCTACATGCTCACCTGAATGAGCCCAGCAAACCCACTGGCTTGGGCTGCGTGCCCCAGCAGAAATGTGCACACCCCCCGATGGATAAGAGTGCAGAGATTCAGCCCAGATCATCTTCAGGCCTTCTCCCAGGAGGAACAGTTCCTTTGCCCAAAGTCCTGGGAAACCAAGGACTCTTAGCCTTCCCAAGGCTACTTTTCCAAAATCATTAGGCTCAGCAGCAAGATCTGAGCCAGAGTAACCTCTCTTGACCCCTAGAAAGGTGCCAACGCATTGGGCTTTGGTCCTTGGATGATTCAGAATGTTTCAGGAGATGAGGTGGTTCCAGAGCATGGGGAAGCCTCTGGTTTCCTGAGATGTTGGAGCAAAGCCCAAAGACAAGGTGGAACCACCCCCCATTTCTCAGAGTCCCATAGGGAGGCCTCTGGGGGGCTAAGAAGCAGATGCTAAGCCACATCTACTCAATGCACCTGTTGGTCAAGCTTTTTCCATTTAGTGCTAAAGAAGGCTGAAGTGGAGACAGGAGGGCAGAAACAGATCACATAGGAAAAAAAGCCCTACCACTAAGCCTTCTTTTCTCAAAAATCCCTCGAAAACATGTGCCATATAAATATATGACCTCAGTTATAAACAGCCATGCTCCCTTTAGAATCAGAAGCAACTGTTTAGCTTTATTAGGCACCATTGACACATCAAAGCGGGAGGCCCTGTGCTCGGCAACTTGGAGTCCTGCCTGTGGCTATTTATTTTCCTTTCCTCTTTTTTTTTTTTTTTTTTTAAATGAAGCCTTAAAAAAAGAGAGAACGAGCTTTATTCCCCTTATAGGTTAAAGGCTGCACAAATCTGGCTTGCTCTCTGAAGGCCTCCAGCTCAAAAGGAACTTATTTGGGCAGCATGTGACTTCACTGCCTTGGTTTCCGATGCAGTTATATGTCATGAAATAAGGGTTCAAATGAACGCGTGTACAACGGTGTTTGGTTACACTGCTATATTCAGGCCTTTATTCACCTTTATTGCAGCTGCGTGTCTGCCAATAAGATTTTTATGAAACCCGGAGCTAGAGAATTAGTAAAGATTGTGCTTGTCCATGCAGCAAGAGATAGTTGGGCTGGTTCCGGAACAAGCACCCAGGGAGCTCTTGAGGCCTAGTCTGAATCTGGGCAAACAAGAAACCCCTAAGGAGGAAGGTGGGCATGAGTAAGTCCTTACCTATCTGTCAATATTAAGTGAATTTTATAGCTCTCCTTTCATGATGGCGCTTAAACTTCATGTTCTCTCTGCCGATCTGTTTTCGATTAGTTCAGATCTTTATAAAATGAACTACAAAAACACAATTTAAAAAACTGGCATCCATCACCAGTGACCACGTCCAAGAGTAAGAAAATAGAAAAGTTGGACCCTGAAGAGCCAGCCTAATTTTTATTGTACATGAATGTCCTCTTCACAAAAAGTCAGCTGGTTTAGATTCATTCTGTTATGATTTGTAATATCTAAATGGAATTTTCTTCAAAGCGCCCTTGATTGATTGACCCTTAGCTGAACGTTTTGTTTTTATTTTGAGGCTGACAATAATGTTTGTTGGCATGTGTTCTGCTTCAACTGTGTTGGGACGCCATGAAGCTATCTTTATGAGTCATCCAACCACAATACTAAATACATGTCAGCAAAGGAAATATTATCTGAAAAGGGAAAAATCCCTTTGATGTGCTTCAACATGCAGAGATTTCTGCGAGTTTTGGAAGCTCTGCCCGCTTGTAAGGAACGGTGTACGCTTACACTTTTTTTTCCCCCTTTCGGCCTACTCCGTGCCTCAGAAGACCACCCATTGCTTGAAAACAGTTCTGCTCTTTCAGCGGCAAAGTGTGTCATTTGGTTTTAGCACATTCATTTGCCGGGCGCTGTGTTTATATTAAGGGAAGCCAAACCGAGAGATGAAATGTTACAAGGGTGAAGTACAAAGTAGACTCAATTTTTCTCAAGTTAGGAGATGCCAGTGATTTATAGCTCAGCTCCAATTTTGATTTTTTTTTTTTTTTTACGTAGCAGTGGAAAGAATTAATAAAATGCACAGCTCTCGGGGATGCAGAGGGAGGAAGGGTAGTGAGGTCTGGACAACTGGCTGGAGTTTTTGTCAGATATTCATAGAATGTTGGGAAAAAACATTCTGCTTAGCTAGCAGTGCCCTCATGAGACAGAATGGCAGCAAGTAAGGAAAATAACAAGATAAATGAAATTTTTGCAGCTGCAAGTAAAATATTGAGAATCTGCACTTTTTTATTGATCTTTATGATCCTATTGCCAAGAGCCACTTTGTGGTGACAAAATATGTTGACAAGTGCATATCTCACTGCCATGAAAAATGTGGTGAAGGATTCGCCTCCTGTCTGCAGTGTTGTACAAGGAACAAATTGCCCTGCTACAGCCAATTCCTTACAGAAAGGCTAAATTTAAGGCCCACCAACCCTAAACACTTTTATCTGGAACTTGAGGCTAATATTTGTCGCAATTCTTCATTGAGAAAACCAGTTGAGGTCTCATTTTTTTTTTTAATCTGTAGATTTTTCTTTACAGTACCAAAGCTGTTATTAAAGAAGGTTTATTTCTTGGTACTTTCACTCTATCATTGCAGAGTTTAATCTTTTAGCCCGAGTAAAGTGCTCCTCTTGTATTTATTGAATTGCCATCCATTTCACATGAGGGGTTTTCCCTTCTCCTGTATCAGACTTTAGAAGGAAGACAATGGGGAAGATTTCTATTTTTCTCCATCCCTATATCACAGACCTGTTTAATTTTATTACAAATTTGAGCACTCCCAATGCCAAGTTGCAAGAAGATACGTAATGTTTTTCTTTCACATAAGAAATCAATAGTATTAATTTATATACAAGGTTGAAGCGTCTGCAGTTTGCCAAGGGGAGAATTTTCTCATCAGTGTGAGGAGGAATTTTTTTTTTTTTTTTTTTTTAATGAACTCTTCCTTTCTGCTGTCTCCTGGGCCAAATATCTGTCTCTGCAGCCAAGACACTCTAGGAAGGGACAGTGTGGAAATAAACTGTGAGCTCTTTATCCTACTGGGTCACAGGCTCTAATTGGTTGCTGGGAATGATAAGGTGGGTGTCGATTTTATTACAAACAGAAACTGTTTAGGTGGAGCTGGGCAGAACTTTTTTGGGGCGATAAAAATGTGGATGGGGGCACATGAGTCCTACATATTACTAAGCTGGGTTTTCTTTTGTTTTGAATAGGTCGAATATATTCTACCGAGCCTGTATAGATATTCCCAGGGGTACCGAGCTTCTGGTGTGGTACAATGACAGCTATACGTCTTTCTTTGGGATCCCCTTACAATGCATTGCCCAGGATGAAAACTGTAAGAATTTATTTTAGCTCTGAATTTACATCTCAAAAGCCCTATTTTAAAGCTAACTTTTTAAGAGTGTTGTTTGAAACTCCTGAAAAGCGATCACTGTGCCTTATAACACAGATGTGCTCAAGTCTGTTCCATCATTTTCTTTTCCCTGTACGTCCTTTGCTTTTTCACAGGGCATCTTGACTTGTACAGGCCAATCCTTCCTCTCCTGTTTACAATGTCAAAACCTCTATTAGAGTTTTAAGTAATCGCCAGAAGCAATGTTAAGGCAGCTGGCATTTACTGATTGTCTATTGTGTGTCTGGTTCTCTGCCTGCCACCTCACAGGGATGCAAGAGCCGCATAATATACAACTTCTGCCCTGAAGGGCTGTGCAGTTTCGCTGCAGTCATCTTACATGCAAAAGTGAGAGAATGAAAATACAGGGCCCTTCCATCACGAGCAACCCCCCCCCCCCCCCCCCCAGTCCACGGGGTGTGCCTCCTCCTAAGTAGTCATGGCCACGAGAAATGGTAGTAAAAATTGTAGACATATCTCACTGAGCAACTTGTGTCTCTCTAAATTTCTTAGCCTAAATGAACCCTGTAATTTTCTTCTCTCTTTCTTACCATGGCAGCCAGTGTCTTCTAAAAAATAATCTAACATCTATGCAAATGCGAACTTGCAGCAGTTTTCACTTAAACTTTCTATGTTTGTTCTATCAATTCTTTGGAGAGTATTTTAAGGTGATTTTCAGTATTTGGAAGAAAATTAACTAATTTTGATGTGCTTCAGTGAGAGACACTGGTTTCAATGGTGCTGTTTATGTCTTGTCACAAAGTTGATTAATCTGTGAACCGATCATTTGGGATTGTGTGACAGAAAAGGAAGCTGAGAGAACAGATGTATTTGAGAAACTTATTTAAAAAAAATATTTTATGTTACTTTTTCCTTCTCCACTTAACTTTCTCACACACACAAACTCCAATAAAAAGTGTTCATATTACTATTGAACAAAATGCTGATGACCAGATATCTCTTGTCCACATTGCTTTTATTTTTCTGTGTGAAAAACAGAATCCTGAAAAGGCATATTACTATCAACTTTTCTTTTCTACTTTACTCTAACCTGAAATCATTCTCAAGTCAAAACACAGATCTTTAGACATGTCGCACATTCCTCTGACTTCCCAAGTTTCCATTGGAAAGTTTCTTTCCTGCTGTGATACTCCTGTTTGAGGGAGTGTCTGTTTGCAGAGGAGGAAATCTCAGTGTTGGACATGAGTGCGCGGTAGAGGCAGATGTGGACGTGGGGGCCGTTGTGCTCTCTCTTCCCGGAGTGGCTCCATGCCCCTACTTCCCTAAAACTAGCTCTAGGTCCACAGACAGAAAAACATCAGTGTCAGCCCCCCAACTCCTACCTGATCCACTGACATGGGCCTGTCTGTCCATAGAACCTTGACGTAAGCTCACCTTCTGAAATACGGACCTTGATCCAAAAGGACTCCAGAAGTCTTTTAATAAAACCTGCCGCAAACTCTGAAGGTGTTTTATGGTGTGTGTGTTGAGGATTATCTGGGAATAAATATAGCAAAGCCTAGAGTTCTAAAGTACAGAGAACATAGTCCAACTAGCCATTCATTCACTCATTCATTTATTCATTGCTCAGATATTTACTGAACACCTACTATGGGCCAATGTTGTTGCTAGGTGCTGCAAAAACAGCAGTGAACAAAAGAGACAAGAATTTCTGGCTCTCCCCATGGAGGGAGACAGATTATCAACAAATACATGAGTAAATAAGTAGTTTATCAGGTGGTGGTAAGTGTTGTAGAGATAACAAAACAGAGAAGAGGTAAGGCATGCCAGGAGCTAGGAGTCACAGTTTTAGAGAGTAATCAGGGTAGTCCCTTCTAGATATGTGGCCTTTGGGATAAGATGTAAAGAGGTGAAAGTTATTTGGGAGGAGAATGTTCCAGGCGGGCTGTCTAGAAGCGCAGAGGCCTCATAGGGGATTGTTCCTGGCTCGTTGGAAAAGCGTCACAGAGATTGGCACTGGTGTTTGGGAGTGAGTGAGATGGGAAGAAGTTACCTTAGGTAAGAGGGTGGGGGGGTCTGGTAGGGCCTAAGAGGCCACTGTCAGGACCCTGCCTTTGACTCTGAGTGGGCTCGGTGAAAGGGGACTAGGGCCGCGTTTTGAGCAGAAGAGTGTTATGATCTGACTAAAGTTGTAACAGGATGGCTCTGGCTACTGAGTAGAGACAGTAAGGGATGAAGTCGGAGCAGGCATCCAGGTAGAGGCTCTTGCAGGAATCCAGGAGAGAGATGATGATAGTTTGGACCAGTGTAGATGTCGTGGAGGTGGTGAGAAGTGGTTGGATTCTGGATACATTTTGTAGGGAAAGCCAACGGCGCTTGCTGACACATTGGATGCTGAAAGAGAGAGAAAGGAGTAAAGATAACTCCACAGCTTTGGTCTCAGCAACTGGAAGGATGGAATGGCTATTGACTGATTTATGAGTCAGAAAGGGAAACTGCCATGGAATGACAACTTAGGGAATGCAATTCTCACTGATGACATGGATCTTTGGGGTGGAAGTCATGCATCTATAACGTTCTGCTTCGCGGTCTTGTGACAGGATGAGAGGGATTGAGGGGTCAGGCTGGAGGATTCCTGGGTGCTATTCAAAGCCACCCGAAAATGGATGTCTAAGAGTGTGCCACCTGGTTTTCAAATTCAGTGTCAGAGTGCCATTCAAAAGTGTACTTTTGGATACACCATATGCTTTGCTTTTCAGTCTTTCCTTCTTCTAGAGTCCAACCCACATGAAGTGTAGCTAATTAGAGTGTTGAATAAACTCTACCAGGGTGTATGTTACATCATTTAGTACCTGAAATCCTTGGAAGAAAATTCACAAAGCCACAGCAGCTTGAAGTATCATGAACCCAGTAGGTAGACTAAGCAGCTCTTTTGCGTCTAGTTCAGAGCTCTAACTGAGGTTAGAGGGAAGTTTAAAGAATTAAGTTACTGACTAAAATGCTCAACAGTGACAATCCGCCTTCCCTCTAAGGGTATTATAGGAATTTTATTTCAGTTCCTGTCTCAAAGTCGTATATCTGTCATGTGACTGGCCACCCAAGAAACCAGTAGAAAGCTTCATCAGATAGTGTGGGGGAGACAGATATATGACTTTGACTCTAACACTAAGATGGATTCTCATTCCATATGATTCATTGAGAGACCAGGGGATGCTTACAATGAAGATTCCTTATTCTGTACTGAGAAAATACTCTGTGTGATTTAAAAGCACAAATGTGTGAAAGGGCATGGACAGATAATTTAACAGAAAACCTTCCACAGTCCTGAGTAATTTAAATCATCTCAACTGGATTAGCAATCCTAAAACAATTTTTATCCTACTGAGCTAGCCACAAAATAAATTAGGAACCTTATAAAAATGCTTCTTGAGATCAAAGACCTTACTTGACAAAGTGCCTCCACAGAGCCTCCTTATAGTTCTATGCACAGAGTAAACAATTAATAAATGCTCACTGGATAAATATTAAGAATCTTATTGCCATTAAATATTGGGTGATTAACTATTTCAGCCAGATTTCTCTTTGTTAATGAAACTGATACTTGGCCAAAGACATTAAAGAAAAATATGATTTTACTTAGTGAATAATACTTATTAAACACTTTCCACTTATAAAAATATCATTTTCTTCCCATGGCTCTTTCAACATGGAAAGTGCACACTTCCTATTGAGCATGTGTGCGGTGGGTTCAGGCTCCAGTAACTGCCTGCCTCCGGCAGTGGCCGTGAGGCCTTGGGGCACACACTCTGCCCCGACGAGCCATTGGAAGCTGCCTGGCCTCAAAGAGAAGGCAGCGTTTCCCACAGGCATTTGGGCTCTGGAAACAATTCCTCAATTCCTATTTTCTTTTAAAAAGCCCGTTTTAAATGTAACAGATCTCCAGAGAGCGAGCCACTCCATCCACTGTGGGCCTTTCAGAAGAGCCTGAAGCTTCCCCTTGTTGACAGATTGCATCCCCAAGAAGGCGCAGGTTCCCCAAAGCTTCTAGTGGGGGATTAGCTCCTGCAGAGTGTAAAGACCATGGTGTATTCATATTCATTTCAGAGGAAATGTTTTTAGAAAACCTGGGAGTAAATGTCAAACAAGTCTTCCTGCTGCGGGTTCTGCCTTGGCCCGAGAAGCTGAGGTAGCAGAATGTGAAACTGGAGGGCCATGCAGGAGTTGCTGCGCTGGAGTGAACTCTGCCTCCGGGAGGCCTGCCTTTTTCTTTTCATTCTAAAGAGCAGAGAGTGAAAAGGGGCACCTCTGTGTAGTGCTTGTCACCCTCACTATCCCTTCAATAATGAAAAACTCAGCTCAGGGGTAAAGGAAGCCCTGCTTAAGCTTCACATCCATGAACATTGAGGAGAGTACATACAGCTCCACCCACCAAGAACATCTGTGTGCAGGCTCTGTGGGAGACGTTGCGATGGGGCACACACACACAGGCCCTGTCCTCAAGGAACGCAGCCCAGGAGAAGGCATGTAAGCCCACAACTACAGTGCAGAACACCATGCACGTGCCATGTGTGATGGCCTTAGCAGGGAGCCCGAGCTGGGCCTGGGGTGTGAAGCTGAGGATCAGTGCAGTTGGGAGCAGCCAGGGTTCCAGGCCGCTGTATGCAGTGGGGTGCTGGGATTGGACTCCTCTCAGGAATCCAGGTGCTGGAAGTTACATTTTAGCTCTGAATGAGGACTAGGGAAATGCTAACCTCAAGGGGGAACTGTGCTGCTTAAACCATTGGGTGAAAACAGAGTGTCACTCTATAAAGCAGTCCTCACTGCAGAATGGCATGGCTTGATTTTGTCCTACCTACCAGGTATGGAAACCCTGGGTTAGGAAACTAATATAAAAATTAGTTCAGAGGTGGAGAAATCTGTAAGATCCTAGAGGAGCAGAGGCAAAGTCACCCATTGGGATGCCTATGGATCTGCACAGCGCT